GCAGGTTTCTATATGTAAATATCAAATGTGTTGTGTTGCTTATTCCATGCCCCTTGAGTTGCCCAAATATCCATCCTGTTGAGTTAGGGTGAGAGCTTTTCATAGTTTTCCTTCTAATTTTTTGAACACAAATTTGTTCTTTTGATTATTACCCAAATGACAACTTAATAGAAAAAAAAGGGGCCAATGAGGTTTTGAGTTAATTCAGATATATTTTGACTGAAACTGTTTATTTTCTGTGTACATAAATATCAGGTGTGGATTCTGAATTCAGATATATTTCGACTGATATTATCTTCAACATTACCGTCGTTATTCTGTACATAATTTTTTTTAATGTATTTTTCCCCTGAAATTTAACGAGTTCACTCTCTTCTAGGATTTTATACGTTTGTTCCCTTATATAATCCCGCCTGCCACTTGCTTAACATTTTTTTTTGACAAAACACGAGTAGATGAAAATAAATTAAAAACTACAAAATGATAAATATGATAATATTTCACATGGGTTTAGTTTTATTATCGGTATAATATATAAGAAAATATAAAAATTAAATATATTTAAACGTTTAATATTTTTAATATAAAGATGAAAATATATTTAAATGCTTGGACTAAATATATATGTGTGAAAAGTTTGTGTTTGTTGAGCTGCGGTCATTTTTAATTACGTAATAAGATAAAAATGATTTAATAATTTAATTAGGGTCGAAAATGCACCGGGCCCAAAGTCTAGGGCAAGTTAGGTTGGAGTAAGCAGTAATTTCTATACTATCATTTAGATTTAACTATATGATTATTATATAGAATTAGAATTTTCTAGTCTTATAGACGAAGTTCTAAAATTGTTATGTTTCTTTAATTGAAATTTTAAAAAATAAATATTAATTAATTGAGATTTATATAATTATTCTTTATTTGTATAAATTTTACTGACAATCAGGGACGGAGTCAGGATTAACTATTAGCAGGAGAAGAAAATTTGGACAAACACTAATTAAATTTGTATTGTCAACAATACATTTTAGAATGATTGATTGAATTTTTATGTACTTATTATATGATCAAATATAAATATTTAGGCATAAATTAAGGGCGTAAACGATTAATATTAAATGATTAAAATTGCCTTAAAATATATATTAATTTGTATCTACCCATATTAATCAAATATATATATAAATAAACATTTAACCATTTATAGTGTTATCAATGTAAAATTACAAATAAAATTTTAAATGCAAAAAAATTATATCAAAAGGTAAGAATTAATTTGAATTAATTAAAATAAAACTCTAAAAATCGCAAAGAAAACCTAAAAGAAAAGGAGTAGAGATTAGAACTATAATTTCCCTATATAAGCATAGGTATTCAATGTAATATTTTACAAGCAAGAACCACACCAAACGCCATCGAACATAAGTTTTCTGCCCCTTATATATCCCACCAATAGTTTAATGTCATGTGTATTAATAAATATTATTTAACTTAGCAGAAGTTTTCCGTCGAGAAGGTCCGACGTCGGCAGTAGCGTAATGGTTCTCTAGCGCCATGTTAAGGATTTAGCTCACAGTGATTCTTCCTCGGCTTCTTCTGGAAACAACACCAAATCCTTCAAGGATCTCTCTAAATCTAATGTGAGTGTGTTAAGCATTAATCTTTACCTTTCTTTATTTAAATTTGGAAATAAAGCTTACTTTTTTAAAGACCCAAGGAGGAATGATGATAGAAAATCGACGCAGTGCATGGGTGCAATTGTTGACGCTCAACCGGCAAGCCGAAGAACCAGTAAAAAATCCAAGGTTAAGAATCCACCCACTGGACATGCAAAGGTTGCTTCATACATATTAGTCTATTTTTTAAACTTCCACCCACTGGTTATGCAAAGGTTCCTTTGCTAATAATTACATGCGAGGAAAAAGAAGATACGAGGATAAAATCACAGCATTGCAGCAGTTGGTTTCACCTTTTGGCAAGGTTCGAAAATTTGTTCAAGATTCAACCTAATATATTACCCAAAAATGAATGCTGTGAGACAATTATGGGAATTTAGCGATGCTGCAAACAGATACGCCATCAATGCTCCATGAAACAATGGGTTATACCAGGTTCCTGCATGATCAAATTTAAGTCCTTTGTTCTCCTTAGCTGTAACCAAAAATAAAAACCCAATTCTTCCTTTTTAATTTTTTTTGATGAATATTGGTAAAGAAATGACTTAAAATGGTCTATTATTTTCTTTGTGTTGATAGTGTTGGGAAAATAGATCCCTTGTAATCCAACAATCCATTTAGATCACAACAATAACAAAAATATTTGAAAAATAAAAGAGAGAAAAACACAATAATTTAACGTGAAAAACTCCCAAATGGAGAAAAACCACAGGCGTTGTCAAAAGACAACCAAGAGAAAAAAATATTTACTATGTGGAAAATTATTACAATCACACTACAAAATATTTAACTCTCACACATGTCCAAAAGCTAAAGTACACCCCAAGAGAATTTCCCTTTAAATTCTCTACTAGTATAGCTAATAGCTTTCTAGTATACCACTTGTATTTTGGTGATTGACATACATTTAACCAAAGGGAAATGTTCTATTTATAAGCTAAGAATTTTTCCATCCTTTGTTAATTTCCAATGTGGGATTTGGCCAATTTTTGCCAAAAACTAACAAATCTCCACCTTGGCAAAAATTCCATACAATTCTTCACCATAAAAACAACAGCTACCTCAATAACACCATCATCTATGATAGTCACAATTCTAAAAACAAGAATTGTCATTCTCCACCATAAGAGTATACACACTTGGAATTCACTAACTCCAAGAATTTTTACCTCGACCAGCTCATGTCGAAAAACTGCTAATAAGTTATGGTGCAACTTCCAATGTTGACTTTCTAGGAAGTTCATTAGCCATCGACATCACTTCCACCACACACCTTGCATCAACTGTCAACTAATGCCCATGTGTAAATGTGAACATGCTACCTTTTCATACATCCTTTTCCATGGCAACTCAATTGGTAGCTATCATGCCATGAGGATATATATCTTTCTTTACAAAGCAAATTCATCGTCTTCATTTTCAAAGAAGACTACATTAGTAGCATCACTTTTGGAGCCATTAGCCGAATTAGCTCCACCGTTTTTGCAATCCTTCTTTAGATGTCCAGGTTGCCCACATCCCCAGCAGATAATTTTCCTTTTAGAGCCTTTATACTTCTTCCTATTTCCACAAACCGACAATGCTCCACTTTCAGAAGATTTGTTCTCTCCATTTTTCAGCATTCTTTCTTCCAAAATTAGCTTACTTGTCACTTCTGAAAAATTCACATTCTTTTTCCCGTACATTAAAACGGTTTGCATGGGCTCATAGGAAGATGGAAGAGACCAAATAAGTCTCAATGCTTTATCTTCATCATCAATCTCCACTCCAATAGATTCCAGTTCAGAAACAATCCCATTGAGTGCACTAAGGTGGTCAAAAATTTTTGTACCTTCTTCCATTTGCAATTTGTGAAATTTCTCCTTCAAATATAGCCTATTTGAAAGACTTTTAGCTTGGTACATTTCCTCAAGCTTTTTCCAAAGCTCCTTTGTTGATGACCATCTAGCAACATTAGCAATAACATTTTTGGCTAGACAGAGACGAATCTGACTTGCTGCTCTCATGTCTAACTCCTCCCATTCTTCTTCACTCATCTTGGATTTTCCCTTGTTTCCACTGCTGTTACTAGGTTTATCTGGTTCCTTTCCTTCGAACAAAGAAGCTGGCTTTCCCTTTAAGGCCTTATACAATCCAAACTGGATTAGTATATCCTTGACTTGTACTCGCCACAACCCAAAATTAATTCTCCCATCAAATTTCTCAATATCAAATCTGAAACTCATTTTTGCTCAACAATGCTACAGTGATCTCACACGTGAATAATGAGTGAACAATTGTGTTTACAAAATGCACTAAGAAAGTTTCCAGGAAAGATTGGGGGGACACAAATGGTACCGCTTAAGTCTCAACCTTCTTAGGCGATTATAGCATTTGTGACAAAACTTTCTTGACTGCACTTACTTACACAATACCACACTCAATAAACACAATAACGTATTTAAAGGACCTCCAGTTGGACCACAACAATTTCTAAAAAATCTTTTCTGATGTAGAAGATCAGACAAAGCCGCAATCACAGAGCATACTAAGAATTTTAAAGAAATTCCTACATCGCCTTAAAGTTTATCTTTTACCAAACCATTGGCTCTGATACCAATTGTTGGGAAAATAGACCCCTTGTAATCCAACAATCCCTTTAGATCACAACATTAACAAAAATACTTGAAAAATAAAAGAGAGAAAAACACAATAATTTAACGTGAAAAACTCCCAAATGGAGAAAAACCACAAACGTTGTCAAAAGACAACCGAGAGAAAAAATATTTACTATATGAAAAATTATTACAACCACACTACAAAATATTTAACTCTTACACATGCCCAAAAACTAAAGTACACCCCAAGAGAATTTCCATTTAAATTCTCTAGTAGTATAGCTAATAGCTTTCTAGTACACCACTTGTATTTTGGTGATTGACATTCATTTAACCAAAGTGAAATGTTTTATTTATAGACTAATAATTTTTCCATCCTTTGTTAATTTCCAATATGGGATTTGGCCAATTTTTGTCAAAAACTAACAAATAGAATGGGTGTGTATTTAACCTATTCTGTATGCTATTGCTTGCTGCCAAAATCACTGGAATTTTAAATCTCTCGATGAGAGTAAATGAGACAACTAGCCGGTTGAAAAAAAGAAAAAAGAAAAAGGTTAGAATAAAGTAAATTAACGACAAACTTCTGTTAAGTTAAATAATATTCATTAATACACATATCATTAAACTATAGGTGAAACATATAAAGCGGCACACGAAAGGGGCAGAAGATTTATGTTGAAAAGCCATCACCTTTGTTTTATTTTTTTCAACAGTGTTAAAGAGTAGAATCACGGAGAGTACATGTGAAGAGGGAGCCTAGGCTCTGCCACAACTTGAAGTGGGTATTTTCTAGGGGTGGAAAGTCCGAAGATTTCCTCCATATTTAAATTATGGTTTGAGATATTGTGAGGTAATTTCCAAGTAAATCCATGCAAAACATTAGCCAAACTTGTTTGAATGACCTTAATCCCCAAAGGATATCCAGGACACATCCTCCTTCCTGCTCCGAATGGCAACAACTCAAAATCACCACCTTTAATATCAATTGTCTTTCCCATGAATCTGTCGGGCCAGAACTCATTGGGATTGTCCCAAAGACTAGGGTCCCTACCGATTGTCCAAACGTTTACCAAGGCTCTGGTGCCCTTGGGAACGTCGTAACCAGCTAATTTGCAGTTTTGGCGAGCAACGCGTGGCGTAAGCAATGGTGCAATAGGGTGCAACCGCATTGTTTCCTTGGAAATGGAATCGATGAAAGGTAGGTTCACAATGTCTTTCTCTTCCACCCATCGTTCCCTACCGATTTCTCTATCTAGTTCTTCTGTGGCCTTGGCCAAAATTTCTGGCTTTTTCAACAGCTCTGAGATTGCCCATTCTACTGTCACTGCTGAACTATCGGTTCCACCCGCAATCAAGTCCTGAAAGATCGACAAGAAAGACAATATTTTTTGTTAATGACATTTTTGACAACGAGCACACCTGCAGATGTTCGACAGAACAAAGGAACATGACAAAGAAAGACAGGTCAAAATTACCTGACAAAATGCCTTGACACCATGCCTTTCAAGCTTGACATCAAGGTTGGGATCCTCAGAAAGCTGCAAAAGCACGTCCATCGTGTCCTTTGCTACATAATCTTGGACCCCTTTTCTCCTTTCGTCGTGTTCATCCAACACATGTTCCAAGAACCTGTCCAGCTTCTTGCTCAACGCCTTCATTCTCTTAATATTGCCCTGCAAATCCAGGAAACTGAGCCAAGGGATCGAGTCGCCGATATCCAGCACACCATTAAGCAAGAACAACTCATCAAGCATCTCATTGAACTCCTTTGGGGACACGATCTCATTTTCCCCAGTCCCTTCCGTGTATTTTTTCCCCAAAACCATCCTACTGATCACGTTAAGACTCAAGCTCGATAGATGTTCTTTCAAAACAATCGTGGTACCACATGATTCGTATAACCTTTTTAGAAACAAATTCACCTCTTCTCTTCGGATATGTTGGTACGACTCTAGACGTTTCGCACTAAAAAGTTCCGTCATGCATATTTTACGTGCTTGCCGCCAGTATGGACCGTAGGGAGACCACGTAATATCGGAGTAATTATAAGTAGTGTATTTTCCGGCAGCGTTTCTAGGCCGATCGGTGAAGATAACATCATTGGTTTTCAACACCGCTTTGGCCATTTCAACAGACGAAGCAACCACAACGGGGAATGACCCGAATTTAAGTTGCATGATGGGGCCGTATTTCAACGAGAGGGCATGGATGGACCGGTGGGGAAGTGAGCCAAGGAGGTTGAGGTCGCCGATTAACGGCCAGGGTTTCGGACCGGGCGGTAAGATGAGTTTCCGACGATGGCAAAAACGAAAGGAGAGGAGGAGGATGGCTAGAGTGGCAAGGCATGGTATGAAGTAAGAAATCCAATATGGAGTTTCCATTTGTGTTTGATTGTGTGATGTGTTAGTGTGGATATTGTATTTATAGACAAATTGAAAGGGCATCAAAGGATCAGCCTACCCTAGAAATGGTGATATGAATAATATTTTTTAATTTTTTTTGTTCATTAACTGCTCCATTCATTATTGGGTTCCGCCGACTAAACAAAATTATATTTTTGAATTTTTTTTGTTCAGTAACTGCTCCATTCATTATTTTTTAATATAAATGTTAGTATTTGATATCGTAAAACTTATTTTATTACAACTTGTATATTTTAATCTTAAATCCTAAAATATAAAACCCTAAAACCTTAAACTCCAAAATTATAAACCCATCCTAAAACTCATCAAATAATTAATTAAGAAAAAGGTTTTATGGTGTCTAAAATTAATAAAGGAATAGCTAATATTATTATGTTCGAGGCGAAATTAAAATTCTATGTTGAGAGATGTATATAAGATTATAAAGTTTTGAGACTAAAATTAATTAAGAAAAAGGTTTTATGGTGTCTAAAATTAATAAAGGAATAGCTAATATTATTATGTTCGAGGCGAAATTAAAATTCTATGTTGAGAGATGTATATAAGATTATAAAGTTTTGAGACTAAAATTAATTAAGAAAAAGGTTTTATGGTGTCTAAAATTAATAAAGGAATAGCTAATATTATTTGAGAAAATCGCCTCAGTGACCAAAAATGCATTATAATATACGATTTTAACCAACTTTTTTTTGATTTGCCAAAATGACCAACAAAATCGCAACGCGATATCAAAACCGCAACGCGATTTAGAAAAGCGCAACGTTGAAAAGAAAATCGCAACGCGATCTTCCAAGAATCGCAATGCGATTCATAAAATCGCAACGCGATTCCAAGAATCGCAACGCGATTTAGAAAATCGCAACGCGATTCCAAGAATCGCAACGCGATTCCAAGAATCGCAACGCGATTCCAAGAATCGCAACGCGATTCCAAGAATCGCAACGCGATCTTCCAAGAATCGCAACGCGATTAAGAAAATCGCAACGCGATTCCAAGAATCGCAACGCGATTAAGAAAATGAGTAAATTCTTTCAAAAGTTGTTGCATTTGTTTCTTTCTTAAGAATTTTCTCTAAAAAGATAGTATCCGCGCGGACGTGTCGAAGACACGTATTACCACGACCACGACCACGACCACGACCACGACCACGACCACGACCACGACCACGACCACGACCACGACCACGACCACGACCACGACCACGACCACGACCACGACCACGACCACGACCACGACCCGACCCGACCCGAGACGAGACGGCGGCGGCGGCGGCGCGCGAGAGTCCCCCTTGTTCTCTTTCACTCAACAAGGAAATGGGAAATCCAAGCCTTAAATACACTTCCCAATAGTGTTTCCAATACTATGTGGGATTGAGCATTACTCAACACTTCAAAGAAAATATAGCAATTTTTGTAGTATTTTCCCACTTAATCCATATCTAAAAATATTAAAACATTTTATCAAGAGAATTAAAAGAGTTGTAGATATCTACATTTCAATTCAAACTTATACATATAGTTTTAATATGATAAAATGTTTTAATATTTTTAAATATGGATTAAGCGGGAAACATGCTACAAAAATTGCTATATTTTCTTTGAAGTGTTGAGTAATGCTCAATCCCACATAGTATTGGAAACACTATTGGGAAGTGTATTTAAGGCTTGGATTTCCCATTTCCTTGTTGAGTGAAAGAGAACAAGGGGGACTCTCGCGCGCCGCCGCCGCCGCCGTCTCGTCTCGGGTCGTGGTCGTGGTCGTGGTCGTGGTCGTGGTCGTGGTCGTGGTCGTGGTCGTGGTCGTGGTAATACGTGTCTTCGACACGTCCGCGCGGATACTATCTTTTTTAGAGAAAATTCTTAAGAAAGAAACAAATGCAACAACTTTTGAAAGAATTTACTCATTTTCTTAATCGCGTTGCGATTTTCTTAATCGCGTTGCGATTCTTGGAAGATCGCGTTGCGATATTCTAAATCGCGTTGCGATTCTTGGAAGATCGCGTTGCGATTTTCTGAATCGCGTTGCGATTCTTGGAAGATCGTGTTGCGATTCTTGGAATCGCGTTGCGATTTTCTGGATCGCGTTGCGATTTTCTAAATCGCGTTGCGATTCTTGGAAGATCGCGTTGCGATTCTTGGAAGATCGCGTTGCGATTTTCTGAATCGCGTTGCGATCTTCTTTTCAACGTTGCGCTTTTCTAAATCGCGTTGCGGTTTTGATATCGCGTTGCGATTTTGTTGGTCATTTTGGCAAATCAAAAAAAAGTTGGTTAAAATCGTATATTATAAGGCATTTTTGGTCACTGAGGCGATTATCTCATATTATTATGTTCGAGGCGAAATTAAAATTCTATGTTGAGAGATGTATATAAGATTATAAAGTTTTGAGACTAAAATTAAAAGTTGAGGGATCATTAATTTTTTACAGGGGTTGAAAAATATTCATTTACAAAAGGGTTTCATTTGAATTATTAATACATAGATGGTATATAATTTAATTATAACATGACACCTAGTTAATGAAGTGACTATCAACTTTAAAACAAATTATTCATATTCTTTTTCAAGTTATTTAAATATTTTTATTTAATTAATTATATAATTAATTAAATCTCCTTTATTAATAAAAAAAATTATAAATGTTTTATGATATGACATATTTATTGTTCATATTTAACATTTTTATTCATATAATGTGATATATAACATATTATGTGTTATTGTTCATGTAGACACACGATTTCGTCCTTTCTTATAACTATATATTATACAGTATATATCTGTTACATATGTATGACATATTACACGTATATTGTATAATATATATATATATATATATATATATATATATATATTATGCATTTTTTGTTTTGTTACACGTTTCAGGCCCAACAAATGTTTACAATGGCCCAACAGTGTACAACATGAACAGGTGACCCAGCAAACCTTAAACATGCACGGGAGCTAGGGTTTCCAGCTAGCATTCCAAGCGGCGCCTCACGAGTCCTCGCTGCTCACGCTGCTCGACCAAGTCCCTCGGTTAACCTCCGGATTTCACGGCCACACGCCACCAACGTCGGCCGTTTCGCTCAAGGCAACCAACAACAATGTTAGCCGAGTGTTTTACATTGAATCAAACACTCAAATAGACTAAAAATATGACCTCTATTTTTACTATAAATAAGTGTAAAAGAATCACACACGATTACACGAGGATTAGGCACGAGATTACTCATGAAATACACACAAAAATTGCAAGGAAAATAGTGAAATCGAAGCATCATTTGTACCGATTCAAAAGAAATAAAAAGGTATTTTTACCTTAGTCAGCTTCCATATTCGTTTGCTTGTGGGTTCTTATTTTTATTTTATTTTTCTTTTTTTTGTTTTGAACCGTTGATGACCGGGGGGAGGGCATCGAGACTTTCAATCTTAGATCTAGCCCTCCCCGAGACGATTGTGAAAAAACCACCTTGATTTTTGGAACGTGGGGAGGGATATCTTTTAAAAACTGAAACTTTTTCCTTTCCACTGTCGGTGGACGGCGGCGCCGACGAGACCGGGCGTCCGGATTCTGGAATCTGCGGTCGTTGTACATCTAGTTGATGAACATTTGAGAGAAAGTTTAAAGGAATGGGGGCTTGCTCGGTTTGTGAAGGGAGAGAAATGAGGAGAAATAAAAAATTGGGCTTTATAACTCGGCCATGCCTGATCCACGACCCGTGCGCGGCCCGACCCACCTTGTAGGGGTCCACGTATTTTTCTGTAAATAGGGTAAACCACCCTTTTGGTCCCTCCGATTTTTAATGTATATTATTTTGATCACAAATCCAGTTTTAAAACCCAATTCCTTTTCAAATTGGCCCCTTATTTTTACTTTTATTCCAAATTAACCCCCACTGTTATCATACATATATATATATATATCTTTTTATATTTTTTTATTTATCTGTTTTTTACTCTTTTTCATTTTATTTTTTATTATTATTATATTTTATTTTCTTTATTTTGTTTCTCTACTATTATTAATATTTTTCCCTAAGATTTAACTATTTGATATTATTATTTATGTACATACCCTTTGTTATTTATTTGTTTTATTTAATATATGCTATTATTTTACATATTTCTTTTATTTTAACATTTGTATATATGTATATGTATATTTTACCTTTTGTTTATATTTTCATGTTTTAGTTTCTTATTATATATTTACTATTATCTTCCCTTTAATTCTTTTTATTATTTTTTTATTTCATTTCTATTTTTCTTTATCCTTATTTTTCATTTATATGTGTTTAATTAAATCTAACATTCTTTTTTTGAGGGTACAATTTCAAATTCGTCAAAGGTAAGTAATTTAGCTCGTTATTTTACTTTTTTATTTAAAGTTATCATTTTCTTAAATTAAGACAACTGGAAATTACACAGTACCGAAAGGGCAGTTTAAGTGTGCTAACCATTCCTTGACTGTAACTGACTCCCGAATCCGACACATCACTGGTAAGACGCAGATCAGGTAAGAAATAAGGTATCCGATCTACCTATTTGGTTTTAAAATAAATGATCGGTGTCGACTCTAACCATTTAATCTAAGTCGAAGCCCAATTTTGGGCCCAACCGAAAGACGGTCCCGACAGCTTGGCGACTCCGCTGGGGACAGGTAAGTGAGTCAGGCTAAGGTAATTTTCAGTTGTCTTTTTAACGAAAAGGGTAAGTTTAAATTTTAAGGTAACATTTCGATATTTTTTACTTACTTTTGATTATATTTTTGAGTAAATAGTTGTACTAACCGTTTTCTAATAATTTCAGTCTTCAAAAGATTTTTCATCTAAGGCTCTATACCCGAGCTCCGAACCCTATTTTAAGTGGGGGTGAAAGCGACACCTTCGTGTGAATTTATTCACCGTGCGGGCCTAGCAAGTAGCCTTCGGGATTCATATACCTTATGTCTTCGTG